TACACGACTGAGTAGGGAGACATTTATGGCAAACTATCAATTGTCAGTCTTACCCCCTCAATCTCCAGCTAGGGGGAGAAAAGAAATATATAGCAAATAACTTGGAGTGAACCTCTGCAATAACACCACCCACTAGTTAAGTTATGGAGAGCAGAAACTCGGCAGCCAGTCCTGTCTGGAGGGCCTCTGGACCAGCTCCTGGAGGTTTCACAGAGATGGTGCCAATGTCACCCAGCTGCTTGCACTCACCTCCTGACATTAAACACCCTACAAGGACGAGCTCACAAGCACACCTGAAAACACGTTGCGAGTGCTGCCTAAATCTGCAAAGTGAACACCGCTGTGGAAAGCTGAATCCAGCTCCTGCACAAGTAAAACACTGACCAAAGTTCAAAAGAGGATACAGAAAAAAACAGAAATCACTGCTGAAAAAGCTCCCTGTTTCACAGAATAGAATCATAGAATGCTTAGGATTGGAAGGGACCTCTAGAGGTCATCTAGTCCAACCCCCCTGCACACGTAGGGTCCCCTAAAGCACGTGGCACAGGACTACGTCCAAGCGGGTTTTGAAGATCTCCAGAGAAGGAGACTCCACAGCCTCTCTGGGCAGCCTGTTCCAGTGCTCTGTCACCCTCACTGTTAAAAAAATTTTCCTTAGGTTCCTGTGGAACTTTTGATGCTTCAGTTTCTGGCCGTTTCCTCTAGTTCTGTCGGTGGCCACCACTGAAAAGAGGCCAGCACCATCCTCCTCACTGCCTCCCTTGAGGTCCTTATAGACACTGACGAGATCCCCTCTCAGCCTTCTCTTCTCCAGGCTGAACAGGCCCAGCTCCCTCAGTCTCTCCTCATAGGGCAGATGTCCAGGCCTCTGATCAATCTCGTAGCTCTGCGGTAGACTCTCTCCAGCAGCTCCACATCCCTCTTGTACTGTGGAGCCCAGAACTGGACATATTTAACCTCTGGGTATGTAGAATCCATCTGCTATTTTCTGCTACTCAGCAGTAGCAGTTCTGCTGGCCCTATGTGCCAAGCCAGATCAATCCATTTTGCTCCTGGGTCTCAGCAAATGAATTCAGTGCTACCATGGGTGTCTACAGCACAAGCTGTGGCACGAGCTTCATAAACAAACATACTGATGGAACAAGGATCCCCAGCACCGCGCTATCGGGATGGCAGTCACTGCTACAGACCAGCTAGAGACCAGCTAGTCCAACCTTCTACCCAGGCAGACCTAGCTGCAAAGTTAAAAAGCCCTTAAGCAACCAGGCTTAGACAACACCAAGTCACCCTTCCACTGCCTGTAAAACACCTAGCCTTCCACAAGCATCCAGCCCAAAGCTGGAAGTGAGAACCTGGGAGTGTATGAAACTTCTTTAAACTTAAATTGTCATTGCTTGGTGAATGTATTTTTTCCTTCAGGAGTTCTACAGACAAAAGTTTTTGCACAAAGTTTTTGCCAGAACTCGGGGCCGTAATCCCCAGTCACGCAGGCAACCCAGCCAAGAGGTTACTACTCATAAGCTTTAGCATGAAGGAGATTAACTTCTGATCCCTTGAATTTTTCTTGCTATCTTGTATACAGTAAACACACAGTCCTCAATATAATCAAGCTCTCTTAAAGTATACAAGGCCGTAACACTTTCAAAATACTACAGATAATGTTCATGTTTCTACTTTTGCCCAGCACTACAAGATCTCAGTCTTATTCATCACAGACTTACCCCAAAAACAAACCCATTAAGTAACTAGGCACTCACAGTAGCATGCGTTTGCAAAGGAAAAAAATATATATCTTGAATGCGTATTTATAACAAAGACAAAGGAAAGCAAGGAGATTTTTAGAAATGCCAGATCAAGTGTTTTTCCTGATTCTGTATGCTTGTAAAATTTCAGGGTGAGTAAATCTGTGAAGTCAACTGTATCTCTGTGTATCTCTGCAGACAGTCCTCATCTCTTACATAGGGCATCTAGGTGAGGATTTTATCTTCACCCCCACAAAAATAAAGCTTTTCATAAACTCAGGTGGGTATCTTGCTATCAGAGCAGGGCTTTCTATTACTTACAGAACAAGAAAGATTAATGGGTCAAATTCAGTGCCCTACACCTGGGTTATGGATGGTTAGACTGTATCCACTATATACTATAAGAGAGAGTTGATAAGAAACTTAAGGAAAACCTGCCCTCAAAGTCTCTGTAAAGTTATTTTTTGTTGTGACCTAAATTAATATGTCCATATATGGTCAAAGACACAGAAAGCAGCAACATCTGGAAAAGATCCAGAAAAATCACTGTAAACTAGTGTCATTCATGCTTAAGACTCCAAATGCATCCTATCATCTGGCTTTACAAGTATCCCCAAGGGATTCATGGAAAACATTAGTTCGAGTCTTGGAATTTAAAACTTTTATTTAAAAAAATCTATTCCAAATGGCCATTTTCCCATGCACTCCAGTTAACTGGGTCACCCTGCCTGTTTCGCAGCACTGCACAGAATTCTGTGCAGTTGCATAGTTGGAGCTTGACCACTTTGAACGGATTAAACGATCCTTTACCGTGCTCCCATTTCAGAGAGTTAAATGATGTTCAGAGAAAACATTTCATACCTCATCATTTCTGAAGGAGTTTCCTTTGAATTCATCTGACATCAGGTCAGCTACTATCAACTGTTTTTGCTATTTTTTCCATGAAATGAACAGGATCATAAAACAACATTAAACTGTTGCTTTCAAGCACTGTCCAAACCACAGATTGTAATTATCCAAGTGGAATGGAATGTATTTATCCATCAATAAGTGGTTCCCATTTCATTAAGAGTAGGGAATTATTACCACCAAGATTTTAGGGTGCTCTGGCGGCCTGTCTCATTTGTGTTCTACAAAACAAATCAATAGGTCACCACTGTATCTTTTAGTATCACTACAGTTTCACCCAAGGGTCTACCAAAATTTAGGTCACTGAGAGCAAAAAAAAAATTTTCCTCTTCTTGTCCTCTTCAACCAAGGGTTGTTCTAATCCACCTAAACATTGAGCAACTCGGTACCTGGTACCTAAGGGTAAATAACTGTAGAAAAACCTTAATGTCCTGAATTTCAGCTTAGAAAGATCTGGCACACAGTACAAAACCCCTGAATACTAACAGTGGTTCTCACTGTTAATTCTTTGACTTAATATTTGACTAGAATCACATGCACATCAGCCACAGTTGCTGGCACAGGCAATTGCTAAGGTTGTGGTAGGAAATAGTTTTATGCTCACTTAAATATTCACACTGAAAGACAGTTTTATTTTTCAATACACATGCTATGCTTACTGATTTTTCAGTCATCACAAGAAGTTGCTGCAAGTAAAGCAAAGCAAAGTTGCACTACAAGTTTATTTGATCAGAATATTAAATGCCCTTGCTATATAAAGTAAGCAACGGTCCCCAAGACAGGGGTTGCCTTTACACATTCTGTAAGCCAGTCAGTTATTTGCTAAATCCTAATAGACTCTAAATCACTACTGTAAACAATTTCAGCTAACTCTCCATGACCCTCCAAGGCTTTTGTCTACACAAGGGAAGGGGAGGAAAGAGGAAAACAAACAAAGAAGAAAACAAACAACCCCTCCCCATCATCTAATCCTGCTACCTACCCAATGGAAGAATTTAATTCAGATTCCCAAATCAGCATATACACAGCTTAACTTTAGCTTTCCTCTCAACAAACTACTAGTAGTCAGAGTTGGCTGGATGGTGTTATCTTTAAAAAGTGTCCTGCAACTTTTGCTGCTCATTTTTATTCAATTTCTTCCTATGATTTTTCCCAATTAGAAATTTTCCAATAGCAGGGAATCCAAGATCCCCTTCAGTTCCTTAAGCCAGAGTTTAGGTGACTATAACCTGAATTGGTTTAGCTTCAACCACCAGTGTTTAATCAACAATAATGAAATCACAGTAAATCTCTCTTCCACTAAAAAGAACAAGTTATTCTTTTACAAAGTTCTTCCAGTGTTCACAGAGCTTCACTATTTTGCGTTAAAGTGTGGTAAGTCAGAGCTTAACTATTTGCATCCCTCTACACATCTCTCTGAAAAAGGTACATAAATGTAACACTCAATTCAAATAAGTCAAATACCTCTTTTAATAATTTTGAGTCAATTTTATTGTGGTTTTCTATCAAAATGATAAACTAGGCTAATACACACCTGATCAAACCTTAGACAAATTTAAATATATAGTCAAATAAGGATTTCCAAAACTTTTCTTCAAAAAACAAACACCCAAACCCTGATATTCTGCAACAAACATTTTGTGTTAGGATTCTCAAGGCTGATCTTTAACTAACTGACAAGCAATTTAGTTCAGCCATCTTAAATAACAGCATAACTAACTTCTTGGCTCTTTGGTAATTACCGAAGGAGCTAAGACTGCATAATAAAATAATCCCCTTTTTCCCCACCCCAACACTGAAGCCAGGAGATCACAGCACTGAAGCAGTTATTCAATGAAATTGAGATTGAAAAAAAACACATCAAGTTTGAAAGCTATTACTTAATGTCCAGAGTACTTACTAATTCAAACTTAATGCCTAATCACTTTATAACAACTTTATAAGGACATAATTACTTCCAACAGTTGAGGTGATCTGAGACCCTGCCATGTTTCACAGTCAGAGAAACTCTGCAGGACAAGGGCAGCAGTCGTGAGCACCCCCTGGTCCATATCAGTATAAGATTAGATTAATTGAAGGCTAAGTGCTTAAAGAAAAGCACTTAAAGAAAAGCAAGTCAGACTTGCACCAAGAAAGATGAACAGAGCTCACATCATCTTACTCAGTTGTTCAGCTGCGTAGGTAGAAAAATACCCCACTGAAAAGTAGTCATTTCCTATACTAGTCACAACATCAAGAGGTTATTTAACTATAGATTACAAAAGCGATCTTTCTGTAATACAAAAAGCACGCTGCTTCTCTTGAGAAATAAAGCTAGCAGCAAAATATTATACAAATTAATGGATTGTGTTAATTTTTCAGGCTTTGGCTTTAATATTACAGTTTGTCATGTACTTGTGGTAACATTTTCTTTGCCTAAGTAAGTTTAGCACTTGAGATCTGCCATTTTTACCCCAGACCCAGTTAAGTTTCAGAGTAACTATTTTTAGGAGGTAACAGTGGATCCAGGTTGCAGAAGACTGTTGCCTACCTTTATAAAATAGATCTTTGCACTTGTCTCACGCCCTTTAAAAGAAAACTTTCTGCAAGCCTGCCTTAAGCACTCAAGTTTTAGTGCACATTTCAGTATTTCTATAGAAGTTTGCAACCATTTGACCACTTTAAAACCTTACATTTTCTAATGGGACTGCATCCATGTTGATTTTTCCAGAATACCGGCAGCATACAAGGGATCCTGCACTTCAGTGGGCTACAAGTTCCACAACGCTAAATTTTTGTGTAGCTAACATACACTGAATGACGCTTATTATATATTTCCTAGAGTTCCAAATTATGGCTGATCTCATTTAAACAAATGTACTTACATAATGTATTGCCTATGTCACTAAATTGCAAGTTACATTGTTAAAGTTGCAATTCTCCCCCTCCACATACCTGTACAGTCTTTTTAATTCTGTGTGAAGGACCTGGATACTCCGGGGAATACAATTCTGTTAAGAATAGTGAGTTGATTAATGTTGATTTTCCCAATCCAGATTCACCTGGAAGAAAACAAAATAGTTTCAGTAAAACTGGAAGCATCATGCATACTGTAAGCATTTAAAGTCTATATTTCAAATAGTCTTAAAATATAGCACTTGAAGACATTCTCTACTTTCTGAGGTTTCCAGAACCTGTAATCTTTTTCAATTCCAAGGAAAAAAATCTGAATATATTATACAGAAAAAAATCTAACCGTCACTGATTGATTCTCAAGACATTTGTTTTTCAGATCAGAATTTAGGAAGCTGCTAAATATTGAATGCAATTAGGGTTTTTCCTCCTGCCTCTAAGGCACACCAAGAAGATATTACCCATGTGAAACTTTTATAAACTAGCTACTTTCCTAGTAAAACTTTCTATCATGACGGTCTCCTTTATTTCATGGATCATTTGAGAGTCTTTCTGTAAGGGGCACATGGGGAGAAAGATCAAGATTATTTTGGTCCAATTATGAAATCCAAAGAGTTAAAATGAATTTCCAAAACTTCGTGGTTTGCATGGAAATTATTAATATTATTATTATTTTTATTGGGGCAGAAGGAGTTGCAATTTTCTCCGCATGAGCGTTTTTTTTCTTTTTTTTTTGGTAACTTGTTCATAAACATCCTTACTAAAAGATTTTACTAAAAGAAGGCAACCTTATTAAAAGCCCGTGACATGTTATTTCCATGACAATCCAAATGAATATAGCTATGAATCCCACAGCAAAAGATATCATCCATTTCTAGCTCTACATAGATGAAATGAGAAGAATTTCAAATACAATACTTATTGCAATATTTTAAATGACAAATCTTTTAGCTGCTTTTCCACAATTTTCTAAAGAAACTGTTTCAGCACACCAATTCACAGTGGCACAAGAAAGAAACCATGAAGGTGTATAATAACCACACCTCCCATTTTAATGTGCTGTTAAGCCTAAACAGAGACAGGGCTGGAGAAAGGTGCTCATGGGCAAGTGGATTTGGACACAAACAACTGCTGAGAATCGTTCTCCTAAGGGAGGAGAGCAAGCCGCACCGCCGCCGCCCCTGCAAGGAAAACATGCTGCTTCGCCCATCCTTAGGCTGCTATGGCTAATTCAAAGGCTCAACGAGAGTGCCTGGAGACCCACGCGCCGCAGAAACACGAGTAAGCAGGAGTTACGAAACAAGCAGCTCCTATTAGCGCGCGTGGCCGCGAACCTGAGCGGCCCAGACCTTATCTCTGGTGTAGCAGCCGGCTGGGTGTCGCGGCGGAGCCCTCTCGGTTACCAGCGAGGGCTCGCGCCCCGCTACAGGGACTAGCGGCTCACGGAGCGCCCGCGGCTCAGGGCGCTTCCCAGGCCTCCTGCCGCACCGAGGCCAGGGGAAGCCTCACTCCTATTATAACCTCCAGCTGGGAACAGCTCCCCAGAACCACAGCTCTGGGTGAGCAGGAGCAGACAGGTTTGCTGGTGAGCATTTCATTGCCACCACTACAGACGTGGCCTTTTTCTGCAGTCAGATTTGCGCGTTTCGGAACTATTTGGTCAATGCAACGCCTCCTGGAATGGGAGTGCAAGAGATGCACGTATTCTCCTCTTAACTGGGCAAGCGCTTGAGGGCAAGGTCAGCTGCAGTTCAGATGTTTCCCTGCTAAATTAACAGCAGAAGGAAGCAGCTCCCCAGAGAAGCTCCCGGCTCCACAGCTGCAGCCACTGGGAAGCTCAGTCTTGAGCTCACAGCTCTGCTCGGGGTACACGCATCGTTCTAGTTTAACCAGAGCTGTTGGGCCCACCCTACCAGCCCCCCAACTTTGCAAGGTACAGTCACTCTTTCTGTGAAGAGTACGTTTTTAGTTGACCAAAACCTCTCAAAAGGTTTTCTTCTGCATTAGTAAAGAAGATTTATGGGCCGCGGCAGAACATTTGTGCATCAGATTCTGGAAGGACTTCAATACACCAAGGGTTGGCCGTGTTCCTCCTCCCACTTATTGCACCTATTGCCGGCCACAAAACTTTACAAGCTTCATAGCGGATCTCACACAGAGAACAGCCACTTTGCCCAAAGATTACACTGCTGGCGAAGTTGCCATTGAAATTCAACATGAGGAAATAAGATTTTGAAATTTTAAGGGCATCTGATGGAAAAAAAACCTAGTTGCTCAGCCCAGCTGGTAGCCACAGCTGTAATTGTCCATACAGAGCTGCTCCCAAATCAGTGCAGCAGTGAAGCTCTGGCATACCTAGGTTTTTCCCCCTCCCTTACTACAGTGAGGATGGGATGGCAGTTTTGAGCTCATGTCCCCGAAAGGTCAAATGTGCCGACTTCATTCCCATTCCCTTCTCAGAGGCACCCGGGCTCCGAGATGCGTGTGCCCATACTAACTGCCATCAGTCAGGACAGACTGCTTACCTGTTCCCAGTTGGAATATTACACTTAAGAGTTAGCCTATTCTGGCCACTGCTGTGCCTTAGATAACAATTTACTCAACACCTATGATGGTAGCAAAAGGCTATAGCTAGAATATCAAACAAAACAGTTACACTGAAACCACAAGAAAGCACACCTGAAACTTTCAATACTGAACAAAAGTTCAGTACTGAACAAGAGCAACTCTTCCACTGTACTCAAAAGAGAATTTCCTCTGCTGACTACAGCGGAAGCAGAATTGGAGAAACTCCAGGTGTACTTGACCAAACCTGGCCACCTTTTTGCACATAAAATATTTAAAATACTCTGATCGTAGAAAAAATACGTTAGGAAAAGCAGTGTTTGTTCTTTATGTAGAAGTTTGCTCAACCTAAATTCTCCCTCCTGGAAAAGCTTGAAAAGCAGCTTGAGTGCCTGAGCTTTGAAGTTACAGGGAAAACAAACTGAACTTACTTTGCCTATCATGACAAAAAGCTAGATTTACAAAAAAAAATGCACCCTGCCAGTCTTAGTACCCATTTCTGGTTACTTCATCATTGTAAGAGATAGCAAAAGACTGCATGATAAAACCACTTATTCAGTAGTAGCTTGCAATCAAACATTCTCAGCATAACACTGTTAGATCTAGTTCCTAGCTCAGAGCGAGTGACTTTCAGAGATATCCTGAGTTTTCTGGTTTCAGAACAAAATGTGAATGGGAGCACATGGGGTTTTCGGGAGCAAACAAACAAATTAAAAATGCAGGGTTACTTTGCAGAGTAATTCTGAACCCAAGAGCTTTATTTGCAGTTCCCGACTGCTGCTGAGTGCCTTTACCATGCCCTCACTCTCCCACTAAGCTTTTCATGTAGCCCTCTCCCAAACAAATAGAAGCTTCTTTTCCTTCATTACTTTATGCCTTGTGTCCAACTGCAAATTAATGTTTCAAATTTGCAACATTTTCTTATGCTGTTTTTCTCTGTAGACATATCCAATTACACAGTTAGCCACATCTGTTGGTAGAAATAAGCATGTTCTTTTATCAACATACTCCTGTTGGCTTCACCAAATACAGGTCTTTGCTCAAGGGGAACAACTGGCATTGGAAGCAAAAGCTCCAGCTCTTCAGGACTGTGAACATCTAAATGGCTGGACAAATACTAGAACTTCTCATACTTTGGTTAACTTTTGTTAGCAAACAGCATTTTTATTCAGACAGCACATCACATGTCACTTAAACGTGATCTTGGATAACTGAATTTTTTTCTCCTTCATTGAAGGAAACCCTGATCAAGTACTTTGCTCTTCCTAAGCAAAAGGATGACTAGTTGTTAAAAAGCCCATTCTGGGACAACCAGGTACAGACTTTACCCACAGCAAAACTGGAAGTGCTCAGGCTGAAGTGCTTCAGTTCAACTTCTATCCATTGGATATGTTATGACTTATGTTATTTCCTGATGAAACAACACATTTTCTGGCTGCCATGCTGCTCTGGAAAGCCAGGACCAGTTTTCCATCATGACCCCTAGTATTTTTAGGATCTTGTTTTCTGAAATCCAACCACAGAACATGTAAACATGACAAATGTTCTTAGACTTACGACCTCATATGAGAGCTCCTTGAACATATCATGATCTAACTTAACTGTTATTTGGCCATCTCAGCGCACTATCTGCAAGTTACAGCATTTTCAACCTCTTCATTAAAGAATAAAAAAATTACTCTTGCTCATCTCACCAGAAGTTTATTTGCAGACTCTTCACCAAAAACAACTCCACTCCTCGTCTGTCTACCAGCCACATAGTATTTTATGTTCCTGCCCTGTGACAGTTACACGGGTGGGAACGTGACCGCACAGGCTACTCGCGCTTACGAAAGTGGGACCACAAGAATGCCTAGGAAGCACCCCCCTGCGAGGAACAGGCTTCTGGCCATCCCAGCCTTGTAAACTAAGACCTCAGTTAAGCTGCTCTAAGTCTGCTTCATGTATTGCCACCCAGTCCTAGTCATTCTACCTATTAATTCAGAATAGTTTGAGCTTTAGCAGTTAACTCATCTCTTCTGAGCCTAACAGCTGTGGTGACCAAGAACAAATGTGACTCTACTGTGGCTAGCAGCTTTCTGGAGACGAGTCCCCCAAATCTGCCATGCAAACGTAAATACACTTCCTGCCAACTACACTGTTTTTCAAAGTTTCCATTACAGAACAGAAGCCAGTATTTAGAGTTACTTAAAACATTAATAGCAAAAGTGCAGTCTCAAGATGATTTACTGCTTTATCATTAGGAAGATACCCAGCCGCACACTTCTTTTCAGATTTGAGAAGGCTGAGACTTTCAGTACATCTGATAATCCCGTATACAAACGTATCATGACAAAGTTATTGTGAATAGATCAACTCCAATATAAAACTGGTTTTCCTCTTATAGCTTGTATAGGTTTTGATGTAAACATTCTGTATATATATTTTATTTCCCGCATGTGGGTTAGTTTTTGGGTGCATTCTCCCCCTCCCAGCGCCCTCCCTTTTCATAAGCTTTAATGATTTTGATCATTTTTGCTTAAGAAATAATCCCATTAGTTTCATAATGGGGATTTAAAGCTGGCTGGGGAAAGCTTGTCAGAAG